TAGGTGTTTAAGGACAGAGACGTTATCACATTATGGGGCTGTACAATGTACTGCTTGAATTTGTGAGCCCGTACTACTTTATGGTTCAGAGGATCATACATTTCAGGAGCAATATTATGAGCGAGGGCAATACTTTTTAACCTATATGACCATAAAGGGGAAACAGAGAAATCTTTAATTTTAAAATCATTTATTTATGTTACTATACCCCCAATTACCTAACTATGCTTCAACCACTCTCCTGCTTTCACCTAGAGTCAGCTAACAAAAATGCCATTCTTTAACTTATAAAGGTACACACTATTTTAGGTCATGGCATAATCATAATCATAAAACTGGCCATGAATTAGTTTATATCACATATTCTGTACCAGTGTCTATACAGAGGGCTGCCAGCAGGTCTGTCAGATGGGTTATTTGATCAGGAGACAGCAGCATGTGGACACAGCCCACTTTCCCATCCAACTCCAGCTAAGAATCAGAGAGAAAGAAAAGAGAGAGAAGTCAGCCTGAGACAGTAGTTGTGTTTTTGCATTTCTTGGTGTGCATGAGAGAGCTGCGTGCACCTTTGGTCCGGGCAGCATGTCGTTCTGTTTGATCTTGACGGTGGTCTCAATGAAACCGGAGCAGCTTCCTATGAGGAGCGGCTGGGATAGAGGGGCAACTTGTGGCTTGGCCTTCTCCCCTTCCTCCTCCTTCTTATCATCGTCGCCTTCACCTTCCTCTCCCTCACTAGCCATGGCTGAATCTGTGTGTTCCTCCTCAGGAGGACCCTGTCAAATGAAGACAAATGAAGAGAGAGATGAAAGCCAGGAACATTGTCTTCTTCACACAATGCCACTTGTAAATTATAAGTCAGTTCTAAAGAAAAAGCAGATCCACACCACTTTGTCCTCCCTAGGTATCACATACCATTATTATGGAAGTTGTACTTTAATACATTCTTTTCTGACAACACTTCACATAAGAAAAGACAAATCATCCTGTTTGTAAAGCTGTAACCTAAAAAGTATCCTTCTGAAGTCAGACATTTTTAAAAAGCTGCAGACTTTCTCCAGTCAGATTGTCTGAACTGATCTTATAGTCTCAGTTTAAACATCAGCAGATCATGTCTGTGTTATATCTGCAACGTGTCACCAAAGCTCTCCACATTTGTTAGTCTGATTACTTGTATTCCAAATGAAAACTAAAAGAAATGTTGCGCAAAAAAAAAATCTAAAGGTAAAAGAAATAAAGAAAACAAAATAGAAAAGATACAGAAATCTGAGGCAGCGTGGTCTCCATCACCTGTACTATGCCATTGCTATCATAGAACAGCTGAACAGCGCTCAGCTGGAGGATCTTGTGCAGGAAGGCGGGTGGCTGGTGGATGTCGACAGGCACGGCAGTCTGGCTGGCTGGATCTCGCACTGCCTCGTCGAAATACTCCAGCCTGGAACAACATGGCAAAATCAGAAATGTACACCATTTATTGCTAACAGCAAATTTAAGTGAGAAGAAAATAACGGTGCAAACAGAGGAAGACATTACACCTACAAACTGGTTTCAATGTGACAAAACATCAGTCGTGTAATTAATGGTATGCTGATAACAAACGTAATATTCTGAACAGAAATACACACTCACACGATCAGTGCCTTCAGCACCAGGACAGCTGAAGCAGAAGCTCCTGTTTAACAAACACTGCATGTGTAACATGCCTCGCTTGACCTGAATCAGTTCTGCCCTTGTGGCCTCTGATCACAGATCAGCAAAGCTCAACCTGTGCAGCTTTGTCAATATGCCAGGAAAACAGAGAGTCATCAGTCTCACAGCAAAATGCCAATAACGTCATGACATATGAGGGACACAGAAAGGACGTAGGTTTAGAGTCAGACGTGTGCAGGGCATTGAAGTTTAAAAAATGAGCATACTGTAATGCAAGTCTATTTAAAGTAATCTTTACCTTCCTTTTCAGATAATAACTTGCGATTGTCAAAAAAATATTAGCAACTATAGTTTAAATAATTTAAAAAGTACTGTGATTTATTCCATTTAAAGTCCAGCAACCCTGAAAGTAGCCTGAGAGCTAAAAGCACTTTCTTGATTATGACAATTTACATCCTCTCCTGTCTTCTTAGGCTTGTATTAAGGATTTCTTTTAAGTTATAAGATCTATCTGAAAATATAAAATTGGGGGTCATTTGTAGTTACCTTGTAATAATAAAACAGATAGAGTATTATATGCTTTAAACTAGGTTTAGTGCATTTTATTTAACCATGCTTGACTAATGCAGTTGGAAATGGTTCCAATGTTATGTCAACAATGTAGCACGAATACATCAAACCATTAGGAACAGCTCTCTCTATATATAATTCTGGTGTTTCATACGCAGCATCAGTGACTCATCAGTGTCCATAGTCATCAATGAATGTCACGGTCACAGACACTCTATTATTGACAACACCTCAAGCATAGGCTGCAGTTATCTGTAGCCACGGTTCAGCCGAATACTGGTAATGTTTCAAATGTGCTTCACACTGAGGCCACGGAGTGCAAGCTCATAAACAGAACAGGCCTCTCGTGCTTAGCAGCTGATGATTAGAGAAGACCTGGCCTCCATTTTGGTAATCACAGAAAAATGTGAGCATGCTGTGCTTCACATTGAGTTTCTGTTTGAGGAGTGTGTGCTGACAGCATTTATACCTTTATGACAATGGCTCATATTATAACGCTACAGCCCAAAAGATACATCTGTTAGCTGATATTATTAGCCCACAAACATGACATCTGATACAATTTTCCACCTGCAATGGCTGCAGGTCACTTTTGGCCACTTTTTCAAACTAACTGTAAAATATTTTACATTTCTGAAATGGTAAATGGTAAATGGCCTGTATTTATAGAGCGCTTTACAAGTCCCGAAGGACCCCAAAGCGCTTTACATATCCAGTCATCAACCCATTCACACACACATTCACACACTGGTGATGGCAGCTACATTGTAGCCACAGCCACCCTGGGGCGCACTGACAGAGGCTGCCGGACACTGGCGCCACCAGGCCCTCTGACCACCACCAGTAGGCAGTAGGTGAAGTGTCTTACCCAAGGACACAACGACCGAGACTGTCCAAGCCGGGGCTCGAACCGGCAACCTTCCGATTACAAGGCGAACTCCCAACTCTTGGGCCACGATCGCCCCATGCATCGAAATGCAAAGCTAATAAGTAAAACCAACACCAGAATGTTTTAATCCCTAAGAATAAACATCCAGCCCTGAAAACCAAAATCAGTGACTATTCAAGACATCACTTGACAACTTCTGCACACGTTTTAGTGTAATGCAAAACACATGCAGCCACATTTTAAATGCAAGCGAAAGGACATTTGATTTTACTAAGCGATGCATTTCAGTAACAGTTAGATAGAAGGTTAAAATATGACACTATTGGTGAACACATTTGGAGCTTTCTGAAAGCTGCGAATTACGATTATAGGGTCTGATTTCTGACTTCTGTGGGGAATCTTTGTAGAACCTACGACCTAACTCTGGAAGCGGCCGACACTGTTGCCACCTCTTATCCTTATGCTGGTGCACTATGTGTTAATAACCTTGTGGTTGTGTCCCAGTCGTTCATGTGCCTGGGCATACGCTCTTTGTTGTGGTCAGTTTTGTCCGTCAAGTTTTGCTTGTTCATTCCTCCACATCCATTCTGACCGTTTCAGCTATCACCGTCTGTGAAATTGCTGACATTTCTGAGTCCTTAAACTGGTGCTATGATTATTATTCTGTCACTGATAAATGCAAATCTAGGGAAGAAAAAGTCGCCAGAAGTGCACAGGAGGTATCAACAGTACTGAACAGACCAATCACACCGGCTGTGTTGTACCGACACACATCAAAGTGCACGCCAGGTTACAACGTAGGGTTTCAGAGGAGTTTGCAGCTACAGCAGAGCTACGGCGTAATTTTCCACTTAAGCATCAATTCCAAGTAAGCCTACTATTATTTCATTTGCAGATTTCAGGAATTTCTAGTGAACGTAAATGTAGCAAAATAAACACACAAACACATATTGCTCCCTTTAATACACTGAATGAAGATAATGTGACTCTAAAAGGCAAGTAAAGTTACTGTCAGATGAACTACTGAAGCACAAGTTATACATGTATGCGTTTAAAAGTGTTTCCATTACTACTGGAAATGTTGTTACTACTCTAACTGTAGTATCAATGAGGCTGTAACTGTAAGTATGTAAAATAACCTTCAGTGAAAAGCAGGTCTAGTTTTTCCTGTTTGCAGCTCATATTCCGCTAGGAAAAAGGAAGCAGGAACTCACCTTTTAATGTGCACTTCTAAGGCGACGCCTGTTTCCAGGTCCAAGGGCTGGTGCTCGATGCGGACGATAGTGTCTAGAAAGGTGACTTTAATGCGACGAAGGACTGAAAAAACAGACAAAACAGATATGCAACGATTCGTTAGCACCGATCTCTTACATGAGCTCTGCTTTGCTCTGAGTGGTGGGATCTAATTTGTACATTAACAGTGTCTCCACTGTCTCCCTGGAGCACATCTGCTCAGTCAAACCTGAATGAAGGTAAATTCTGATTTGTCAAAGTCAGAGCTAACCGTTGTAGACAAAAGGCTCTAATTCACCTCCCTTTAAAACAGTGGATATCAAACTATGGTGGAGGCAACAGTGGTGGGGAATAAAGCCAATTCAGATGGGGCATGAACAACCATGGAAAAATGTGAAGTGAAACAAAGTTGAACTGACATGTTTTCTTGTAAGGAAATTAAAAGTTTTGGAAGCAAAAGATTTGAACAGCAGCTTGGTGGAATTACAGAGCTGTGTGCCCAAGATGACAATATTAAGGATATGACCTCTCATTGGCATCAAAGCCAAGAGCCAAGAGCCAAGTAAGGAACAGAAAGTACTGCCTGGAACTGATCAAACAAAGAAAGAATTACCTGTGCAAACAACAGCCTCCTTATCTGAAACATCAATTATATTTAACATGAGCAGTCACCATTGTAACAGTAAAGTACATTATGGAAAAGAAGTAGAAGTATAATGGGGGCACTGTAAAGTTAATGCTGTTTGATAGCACATTATAAATGTCAAACAACTCACTTGTACTGTGTAACACTATATGTTTATATATGTATGAAGTGTTGTTCAATTATAAAAAATAAATTAAAAAACACAGAGTAATGGTCTTGAGCCACCTTTAATGTCTCTATACTTCCAAGGAGCCAGGATTTCCTCTAATTATTAAAGTGGTCTTGAGCAATAGTTCTCCAGGCCTTCTAAATGCTTGTTACTAGCAGCCGGTTTCAAAAGCACATAATTTTCTTCCCCTTCAGAGTCTTTAGTTGACTCTATGAATGCCAGACAACACAGTTTGACTCACATAAAATGATACTTTTGCACCAACAAGGTGATTCCCAAATCCTCTGAAAAGTTGGTATATCACACCATGTTGTGCAGTGTGTCTTAAAAAAAAAAAAAACAAATACGGAAACGATAAGTAGTGGATAAAAGAAGTAACAGGCCTAAAAAAACAAATGAACAGTATCTCAAAGTTCAAAGTTGTGTCTTTAAGAAATTAGTCAAAAATCTAGCAAAGTGCTGACAGAGGAGCGGAGAGATACATCTAGACCTTCAGTTGATCCATCTATTGTTTAACAAAGCCTCATCAGAAATGGTCTCAGTGGAAGGATGGTTGTTAAGAAGCCATTGTTATAGAAGGAAAACACAAGAACTTGACTGTCACTAGAATCAGTGACGAGTAATTTTCAATTCACTGTCAGTATATCCGGAAGAGATCAGGAGAGAGGTACTAATGTAAATGTTTACAGCAGGGGTGGAGAACTCCAGGCCTCAAGGGCCGGTGTCCTTATCACCCTAGCTCAACACACCTGAATCAAATGATTAGTTCATTACCAGGCCTCTGGAGAACTTCAAGACATGTTGA